TTCTGCGAGTGAGTGGACACCATCACGTGGGCAGAGCCGCGGCCGTCGCGTCGGGGCAGCTGCGCTCTTAGCTCGCATCAGCTTCGGCAACCGGCTCGCCCAACTCCTCCGGGGCATCTTTCCATGACGTTAGAAGGTAGGCTGGCTGCCGACACACCTCCATGTGGCACTGGCGCTCCCTTCGACTGCTTCGACTCCCTTCGGCAGTGGCGGGGCAACTTCTACAAAGTAGAAACATATGGGCAAATAATTTACTTATAATTATTGAGAAGGGTTATCTACAAAACATGGCTATTTTTTTAAATAATACATTTTTTATTAATTTTCATAAATATTATGCCGGATAAAAAAATTTCAAAAATAATACACCGTCGGCCCGCTGCAGGCCGACTGGGCCTAGTCGGCCCACAGCAGGCCAATTGGATTCCAGTCGGCCTACAGCTGGCCGACTGGCCCCTGTCGGCCAACTGTGGGCTGATTGCGTCCTGTCGGCCCACTGTGGGCTGATTGCGTCCTGTCGGCCCATTATGGGCCGACTGGAGCTAATTGGCACAAAAAATATATGTTTAAAAAATGTTAATCATGTAATTAAAAAATGTTAAACGTGTATAAAAAATGTTCCTCATGTATACCAAAAATGTACAATATATATGCAAAAATGTTGACATAAAAAATATGTTTTGAAAAGTGTTAAGCATGTATTTAAAAATTGTTAAATGTGTGTATAAAAAATGTTCCTTATTTATACAAAAAATATAGAATGTGTATGAAAAAAAGTTGATACCAAAAAATTATGTTTGAAAATTATGTTTGAAAAGTTGACATTTTTTCAAATACATGATTAAAAATTGTTAAATGTGTGTATAAAAGATGTTCCTTATCTATAAAAAATATATAGAATGTGTATGAAAAAAAGTTGAAACCAAAAAAATATGTTTGAAAAAAATGTTCCAGTTCCATACAAAAAGAGCAACCAATCATATTTTTTTCACAACCTTGATTTATTTTTTGTCACCAACTCACCAACATAATTTTTTGGTGTCAACTTTTTTTATACACATTCTATATTTTTTGTATAAACAGGAACATTTTTATAAACATATTTAACAATTTTTAAATACATGATTAACACTTTTTAAAACATACTTTTTATGTCAACATTTTTGCATATATATTTTACATTTTTTTATACATCAGGAACAATTTTTTATACACGTTTAACATTTTTTAATTACATAATTAACATTTTTTTAAACACGTAATTTTTATGCCTATTTTTTTGCAAAAACAATTAGCCCACAGCGGGCCAATTAGCTCCAGTCAGCCCACAGTGGGCCGACAGGACCCAATCAGCCCATAGTGGGCCGACAGGGGCCAGTCGGCCAGCTGTAGGCCGATTGGAATCCAATCGGCCTGCTGTGGGCCGACTAGGCCCAGTCGGCCTGCAGCGGGCCGATGGTGTATTATTTTTGAAATTTTTTTACCCAGCGTAATATTTATAAAAATTAATAAAAAATGTATTATTTAAAAAAAATTAGCCAAAACATGCTTAAGTGGATGGTTAGGATGCCCACATGTGATATGCCACCATCATTGCCGATCCAATGCTCTACATAGAAGTTTTCATATTTCACTGATCATGGATTTTCACCAGATACGTCGCCCAAGAAAAAATGTATAGGTATATGATTGATGATTATAATGTTTCCTTCCACTTGAATGAGGTAGCTATGTTGTTTTGATGTGAAAAAAAAGATAGCTATGTTGTTTCACAAAAAATTTGAAATTTAGAAGTTTTAATATCTTTGACTAAGTATATATATTAATTAGGACGTGCATTGCACGTGCAAGCTTACTAGTAAGAACAGGAAAACGAAGTAAACTATCACAGGCGTGTTGTTGTCCGAGTGGTTGCTGCGTTAGGTCCCTGGTTCGAATCCAGAACAACGCTAACTTTTTATCAGCTTTTTCTAGAAAGAAACCGGAAGATGGGCCAGGCCCAACTAGCCGCGCCCTGCAGGCGCCAGTTTGCGAGCGGGCGCATAAGCGCCAAATAGGATTCTCTAAAAAAAAAAAGCGCCAAATAGGATTCGCCATTCCTTCGCCTGGTTACATTCCTATTATTTCTTTACACGTTTCCTTTCCGTTTGGTAGAGGCAAAAAATAGGAGCGATCGCCGACGGGAATCGAACTCCAGACCTCCCCTTCGAGTTTACATGCAGCTACCACCGTGCCACGCAGCTAGACGTGCTCACTAGCATGCTTTCATGTCTTTTCTTATTTGATCTAGCCTTTTACTTTTCCCTTCCTTTTTGCTTTATCGTTTTCGTTTTCGTTTTTCGTTTTTCTTTTTATTCTTCCTGCCTCGATGATTTATTTTTATTATTCTTGAACCTTTTCTTCAAATCGGTGAATTTGTTTCAAATCCGCTGAACTTTTCTCAATTTCAATGAACTTTTTTCAAATTTGATGAATTTTTTTCAATTTCACTGAACTTTTTTCAATTTCAATGAACTTTTTTTCAATTTTCATTGAACTTTTTTTTCAATTTCAATGAACTTTTTTCTAACTTAGTGAACTTTTTTTCCAAATTCAGTGAACTTTTTTCGAATTTAATGAACTTTTCTCATGTAGATGAACCTTTTTCAAATTTGTAGATTTTTGGTGAAAATCCATGAACTTTTTTTTTCATTTTCTATGAACCTTTTTAAAAATTGATGAACTTATTTTCAAAATCCATGAACCTTTTCTAGCCATAATTTTTTTTGTTCCCAAAAAATTGATGCGATTTTTATGTGCAACAAATAGCGTCATGACAATGTTATTTCTTTGTTTCGCGCTGAATCTAAGCACTCACGGCCGGTAGGTCGAGTGGTTAGCGAGGTGTGGACGTGTAGTGATCTGGCTGACTTCGAATCCTGAGGTATCCACTTTTTGCGGGATCCTATTTGACGCCCGCAGGCGTCAAAAGGATGAGCCTTCGCTGAAGAGAGTCACCAGTTGGGCCGGCCCATGTACGGATTTTGGTTTCGCTGCTGTTTCCTTGTTTCTTCGGGGTTTTTTTCGTTTTTGGCTTGCAGAGTTTTCACTCTTGTGGCTGGTTTTCAGTTGTTTTGTTCCGATTTTTTTTAGTTCCTTTTTTCTTTTCATTTTTCTTTCTTTTTTACGTTTTATTTTTATTTTCTGTTTCTGTTCTTCTTCTCTTTATTGCGTATTATATAAAAATTTCACCGCATATTACAAAAATCTTCATCGTATTAAGAAAATGTGCATCGTATATTATTAAATAGTTCACATTGCATTATCAAAATGTTCATCATGTATTAAATAAATGTTCATTGTATATTATTAAATTGTTCAACATATATTAGAAAATGTTCGTTGTGTATTTAAATTTTGTTCATCGTATATTAGGAAATTGTTCAATCTATACTATAAAATGTTCATTTGTATATTTGAAATTTGTTCAGTGTATTTTTACAAAAAGTTTCACCGTATTTGAAAAATTGTTCAACGTATATTGTAAAGATGTTTGAAGATTTGCCGCTGTCCTTTCACTTTTAGCGTGGCGCTGTGATTATGTCGTTCGAGGTCGCTAGCCCGGCTGGCTAGCCTCGCTGCAATCAACCGTGAGGTCGGAAGCTCGATACCGCATGAGCGCTTCTATTTTTTCCGAAATTTTGCTCACCGCTTGATAACTGGGCCGGCCCGTGTGCGCACCGCTTCAGCGAAGCCGCGACGTTCGGACGCACACGGGCGGCGTATAGGAGGTCTCCCACTTTTTTGGGGGGGTTTCTGCGTACGAAGCGTTTCCTGGGCCGGGCCAACTTGGAGGCCGCGTGGGCGCCGGTTCTGCTAGCCGGCGCTTAAGGCGCGGACTAGGAGCTCCCTGCAAACCGAACAGGCCCTAATTAGTTAGCTGGGCTGAACCGAAAGCTTAGGGCCCAAATCTGGGTGGATATGTGCATCCATTTTTTTTTTTGAAGGGAACACGATGCATTCCATTAAGTACAAGGGCTGGACAAATAGCCAACAACATCGTCATTTACAAGGTCTGGATACTGGCCGAGCCAAATCTCGCATTTGGCAACTCCTAGTTTAGCATCATACGCAGCTAAACAATGTGCAACTAAATTACAAGTCCAAGGATAAGATACAACAGTTACATCATTGAAATCCACTCTCAGTTGAAACTTAATATCTTTGAAGATAGCTCATAATGCAGAAAGATCATAGTCTTCATTGCTCACCGCTGTCTTCACTTGCACAGAGTCAGTTTTCACAATCACTCGGTGGCAACCCATCTGGATGGCTGTGTTAACGGCATGAGACTCCAGCTGCTATTACCATACTAAAATTGTTCCTGATAACAAAGCCCCAGCCTCCAGAATTTGATTCCTTCAGGAAGGCACCATCAGTGTTGACTTTCAAGATTTGCGGTGGAGGTCCGGACCATCTTTCCTTTTGCTGATATTCATGTATTCTCCCTTCTCGCTTTACCTTCGAAAATTGCATACAAAGATAGCCAATAGAATGACAGATTTCATCAGAAGGTTTGGTTTCATTTCCCGCATTTGCATCCAATTTGGAAGTGCCGTAGTGATGATTTCTGTTTTAAACATGATTGAAGTTTTCAACTTTTTTGTAGGTTATCTATGACTACAAGGTTCTTCACTTCAGCGTGCAGAGAAAGGGGAGTCTCTGGCCTTTGGGTGCATCCACTTGAGATGATATACAGGATTTAATGGTGGTTGGTCTAGCAACAGGATTAGTGAAGCATGCGTGCCTCATGTAATCTTTATTGTGTTGGTTGTCTCAGCCTTGCTTAATTTTGCAGCTTGCAAGACTTTGTGAACTTGTGATAAGAGTAACTGTACATCAATCAATGTTGTTGAACCTGCTTTTCCAAAGCAAAACAATAAAATCTTCCTATTTGCAAGTTTGTGTTGGTACTCAAGTTTAGTAATGTAACTTGAGACAACATATTTTATTACATACGATTACTGAAATGGTCCACCAAAGACACTAGACCGGAGCCAATGCCGTTCCTCAGTCACAATTGAAGCCGGGAGAACCGTCCTGACGACGCCGTCTTCTAAATCATGCATGAATATATTCGTAACCGACTTCTCTCTGGAAGACAATGACTTCATATGGGCTACCTTCCTCTTCCTCGAGCTGTCGGCGTCGATCGGTGTCGAGCCACCCCACTGGCTTGGATAGAAGGTGTAGACTTTCCTCTTGCCTTCCTCCCTCGCAAGGATGGAGCGACCTCTGTACAGAAACCAGCTGCAACCATCAAGCTCCGTGTCATCTAGAGGTGACCACTCCAGTGCTTCAGCATCCAGCTTGAAGAATTTGAAGTCGCAGAACCGTCCACGAAAGCGACGGCACGAGATGAGCACAACTTCTTCACTGGATGCCACAAGGAAGTGAGCATCCCTTTCGTTCCACCCCTTTGAAAGAGCGGTCCTCCTCCAGCTCATCTCCGTGACGTCGAAGATCAGGATCTTCCCATGGTAGTCGACGCAGACGGCCTGCTTCCCGAGCAAGACGGCATCGATAATGAGGGTGCACTTGATGCGTCTGTGTGGATCCAGCGGTAGGTGGGAGCCATCCTCAATGTTCTTGTAGACGCTCCAGTATATGTCCCCAGGGCAGGCAACATGGACGGTTGGGACCCCGGAGATGGTCTCAATGCACACGACAACCAGAGGCACCTCACTGGAGCCGACGTAGAAAACGAAGAGCCCGTCAATGACAGAAGGGCACGCCGGCAGCTCCAGCCGCCTGCCGGTGCTGGCATGCACAAGGAAGATGGTCTGCTCTTGCTGCTCCTGGAAACCATGTTGCTTGTGCTGGAGCATGAGCAGCCACCCGCCATTTTCGAACACGCAGGTGGCATCTGCGAACGCCACGCTGATTATGCCACGGATCTTCTTGGTGGAGGGGTCAAACAGGAGCTGCTTCTTCTTGTTGCTTTCAAAAATAAACAGAGCCAAGGGTAGCTTCGCTTGCTGGGAAGAAGCCAGCAGGGCATCCTGCTCCATGATGAAACCCAATTTCTTACCAGATATCTGTGGGTGAGGAACAATCGATTAGTGTAATGGAAATTCTAGCTCACAGTACGTATGACACGACAAATACAGACTAGGCAATTGGGAAAAAAAGAACTAGGCAAAGACTGGCCGTAAATAGAATGATAGGTCCTGCGACAACAAAAAAACTGTAAATAGGACAGCCACCCGCCCCAAAAAAACACGGTAGCAAGCAGAGCACTGCAGGTACGTCAAGGAAGCATGATATAGAAGAGACGTGCTATATATGAAACTTGAAATAAATGAAATAAGTTAGCAAATCAGTTTTCATCGTAATTTAGCAATGGTCTTTAAATATAAAATTGAGCATATACGGAGTATTCAGGAAGCAAAACTTCAAATAAAGGAGCAATCTGCTTGCCAGTTGATTAAAATATAATTTGATATAAAACAGCATAGTCACAAAAAGAAGAACCTATGCCAAAAATTGAGCATGAGAAAATGTCTGTTATCAATTTATTTGCCTCGGATGACCAGGCTACATATATAGACAACTAGAATAAGACCATGGGGGCATGATTATCCAATCAGGAAAACACAATTCAAACACTCATAGTGATGAGGCGGGCAAAAAAGAGAACAGAAAGTTTATGTATGAGATATCAATGCTTAGATTTAATCCTTGGTGGAAAGTTTCTCAGAAATTATTAGTGGAAACACAAACAACAATGGATGAAAAGTAGTAAAAGAGGAAAATTTGGAGATTAGTTCAAAATTATATGGTTTTGCATGGTAGGGAAACTAGACTTGGTGCCCAATAGTGACATGTTGTTCCCACTCAGATGTCTTCTACAATAATGATAACTTAATATAAATTTTTATAGAATTTGATCATGTTTACCAAGACACACCTTTCACTGCAGTCTTTTTATTTCATTTTAAATAATAATCAATGGTAATGTGGGAGCTGGAAAACATGTTTTGGCCGTGGAAAATAGAGACTGGTCAAGAGGAGAAATATCAAGATCGGCATGGAATTATATGGCTTTGCATTAAACACATAATTTTCAGCAAATACCAATGGTGTTCCCTTGAGATGCACATTTGGGCTACTAACTTCTCCAATAGTTAAAATGCCATATCAATGCGAATATGAAAATAAAATTGAAAACATCATTTTACCAGTACCGGCAAATACTTGCAAACAGTGGCGGAGCTACGGCCAATTGTTGGGTAGGCCAGGCTCAGAAATTACACATAACACCTCGTCTTTAGCCCAGTTTTTCTGTCTTCCTTAACTATTTTCAGCTGGGCTTCGCCCCAGCGTAGCTCCGCCAAGCGCTTATTACAAATTAGAAATATAAGACACAGGTGAAGTACGGATACAGATAGTGGTTAAGAAAAAGGTGCGAAGATCCATTCATGTCAGTTACATAATAGGTCGATTTAGTTTTGAAACATCGTCAACAATGATATGTTGGTTCAGATCCGAAAGCTATATAGAAAATTACATTACGACAACAAGAAGACGTGCAATCATATATATATGACATGTACTAACAAGATAAAATAATTCCAATACACCCAGTGATTAGGTGGATGGTGGAATCTAAAGGTTTGGATGTATAGTCATCAATTTTTAGAATTTTCGGTGAAAATCCTAAAATTATACCATGCAAAAATAAATGTAGAGGGGTCAGAAGGAGTGGAATAGATGAAGCTAGAGACATGGTTGTTTCAGTCATCTGTTCTCACACATCAAGATTGATACAAACAACTTCACAAAGAAACTTTGATTTTTATATTAGTTTTATCATGTTTGTATATATAACATGTACTAATAATTTTTTTTTGCGATACAAGCCCAGTAATGAGGTGGATGGTGGAACCGATCAAAAGGTTTGGATATGAATCGGCAATTTTTTAGAATTTTCTCTGTGAAAAATCCTAAATATATATTGGTGCAAACATAAGTGTGGAGGGATAACAAGGAGTAGAACAGGGGAAACTAGAGACCCTGGTTCTCTAGAACTTTTGTTCCCACACATCAGGATGGATACCAACAACTTTACACAGAAACATAGATTTGTATCAAAATTTAATCATGTTTTATAAAGATAGACATTTAATAAATTAAGCTATAAGTGTGCTACATGATGCTAATATCTCATCGAATTAAATGAAAAAAGACTGGTAGAGAAATAAGACCAATAGTAAGTCTAGCCACGCAAATGCATGGGCCAGCTTATCCAGCTCCCTGACGTATGGCACGTGCCATTGGGCCACTGACATGTGGGCCCACATGCCACCGGTCGAATGGCACCCTGACATATGTCAGGGATCCTCGTCCAGTTCAAATTCCTAAATATAAGATGTTTTCGCAGTTCAAATTAAAATAAGCAGGAAAGTTCAATCTGAGCGCTGGAAATTAGCGGATGCTACAGACTGAATCGGACAGAACAGACCTTCAACCAATTCGCTAGAGCACTCTACTCTTAAGTAGTTTTCTGAGAGCCCTGGATAAAATCTGGAAGTAGCTAATGTACACATGAACAAAGGCGGGGTGAGATGGGAAGAACCTCGGGGGTGGCGCGATTCGATAGCGACGGTGAATCGGAGAATCTCCCCTGACCAACGCGCAGACTGCCCCTGTGCCGGGCGGATGGCCGGCGGATCCCTCACCTCGTCTTGCCGCGTTGGGTCAAAAAGAGGCGGCGAGCAGGACTAGAGATTTGGACGTGAGGGGAACTCGGCGCCGGAGCCGGAGCCGGCGCGGCAAGCGGGCAGTACCTCTAGAGGGAGGAGGCGATTCGGTGGCCTTTCGTGGCGTTTAGGGTGAACGAAAACTCGTCAGTTTCGGGACGCCAAATTTGCAAGGATTTTGTTTCTCTCGGACTCCTTATATGACCCCATGGCCCCACCAAAAAGAAAGAAAAATCATGTTTGACTCGGAGCCGGAGTCTCGTAAAGACTTTGGTTCAAATGATTATTTTATCGGGCAACTCTACACGTCGGATCCGCCGCCTCGCGAGCCGTAGGGTCAGACAGATTTATTGACTGAGTGTCATCCTCTATTATTGCAACACAGGTTGTGTTGTGAAAAATTTCTGCAACATGAGTCATGTTATAGAAATTTTTGCAACATAGGTCAAGTTGCATTTTTTTTCTCTCGAAATTTTTTGCAACATAGGTCAACATGGTAAAATAATTATTTTTGCAGCAAAAGCTCAGTTACAGTTTTTGGCCTTGTTTCAAATAAGAAATTGCAACTGATCTGACAAATTGAGCGACTGAGCGTCATCCTTTTATCATTGCAACATAGGTCATGTTGCGTGAAATTTCTGTAACACGAGTCATGTTGCAGAAATTTTTGCAAGATATTTTTTTTGCAACAGAGGTCTGAATGTTTCCAGCGAGCCAGGTCCAGAGGCGCTTTAAACTTCGTGCGATGCAGACCCAACAGAAAACGCAGGCAACCAAACAAGCCAGATTCTTCTCGGGCGGGCCTGGTTGGCCTATATGCGAGCAACGAAACGCGTCCCAATTATATTGAAAAGTTTCAACCGGTGACCAACGATTTTAAAAGCTATAGGATGAGCCGACGACACACACGACGACTTTTGCGACGGGAGACGGCCAGCGCGGGCGTCGCTGGGTGGCCGAGGGCGAGGTAAAGGTGGTAACCGGTCATGGTGATGCCGAGCAGATTTTGAAATGAGCTCCACCTCCACCTCCACCTACCACCGCCACCACCGCTGTCGCCGCGCTCCGCCACGGCAGTCCCCACCGCTTCGCTCGCCGTCGCCGCGCTCAGGCCCCGCGTCTCCACCTCTTGTCTCCAACACCTCACCGCCACCCACCGTTCTGTCCCCCTCCCACGCTGATGAGAAGGCATCACAGAATCCCAGATCTGAGATGTCGCATCAGCGAGGGGGAGATTTCGGCGGAGGAGAGGGCGATGGAGGAGGAGCACAATGCAAGGATGGCGAGGTCAATGCGGCGGCCGGGGAGCAGAGACTCACTGAGGAAATTAGTCGTGAGGATTTGTGTGGAGGCATCGGAGGACGAGATGGCCTGCATGCTGCCGGGGTCGACCGCCTCCCCAGAGGAGGTGATTAGATGGGCACAGGCAGAAGCAGTGTAGCACCTGCCGCAACAGAGGGCGAAATGGAGGGCGTTTTGGTCGCTGCAGAATCCTCTTCCATGATGATTTCACCGCGGAGCTGCGAATCCACCATGCCTCAATCCCCAAGCTCGGTAGGGAAAAGCTCAAGGTTCGAATTCGCGACTCCTCTTCGATGCGCTGGGGAACATTTAGCACGCCGCCGCATCGAGTTCTCGGAGAAGCATCGAGCTCTGCGCCCGCCGGAGCCGGGAGCAGTTCGCCGGGATGTCGGGCCTGTGGTCATCGTGGGGGATTTCCCTTGTTACGCTGCCAGGCCGACCCTACCTGTCAGGGACCGCAAGTTTGCAAGCGTTGCTGACTTGGATTTAGGGGCAAAAGAGGAAGAGGACTTGGCTGCGAGGGAGTATTTTTGTCAGCTGTGGCTGGCAGTGGGGGAGGAAACCAAACCCCAACTCTTGGTCTGGATCGAGAAAAGCCGCCTCCGCAGCCACATTCACTCCACCCACTCCATCACCGTCGACGACTACCACCTCGCCGCCGCTTCTGATCTGCTCGACCCCTCTCAAACAGCCACCCGCGTCGAGATCGACCCAGAGCTCCGTTCGAATATCCAAGCTATGGCGGACAACCAGGGGAGAGGAAGAGGAAGAGGAAAAGGTGGAAACCCTAGAAGCAAACAAGCTGATCCCCATCAGGCAAGTAACTAGCAACAATTCGATTCGCAATTCGGTCCTCCTCCGCTCTAGTTTCAGTTCGGATTTGGTTTCCCTGGAGGTCAGCAGATCCCGCCGCCATGGTTCCTTGGAGCGTACTATCCACCTCCCCCACAGATGCCGCAATGGCGTGGAGGCCCTGGGCAGTGGGGGAGGAAACCAGCTGCATGAGC